ACTTCACTATAGATGTGCCTGAAAACTCTGTGTGAATGTATTGTTCACATCTGCATCTTTTTTGGGAGGTAATTTAATTCACCAGATCACATGCTATTGTTGGCTGATAATGCAAAGGTTCAAAGTATCTTGTGGACCAAATTGCCTGTTTCGAATATATGACTGTATGACACCAGTGCAACACCAGTGTGATGGCAATGTGATTGGTGAAAGGTGACACCTAACACACACTCAGCGGGTGTGTGCCGGCTCCATCAGGCCGCTTCATTTCCTTTTGCCTCAGCATCAAGTGAGTTGGTCTGTGTAATGAGACTGATTCCCAGTAAAGTCAGAGCAAATGACTCCCAATGTGCCAGGTCCAGTCAATTGTACGTACAGTTGACTGTGGCTTGTTTCTTGGCAAGAATTTTGGGAAGACCTGTTAAATGTATACGAGTGTGGTGTTCCTAGAACTGTGTTTATGACAGTTAGGACACAATCCTATCCCAGCCGTCTTCAATGCATGGAAGGCTTTGACTTCTGTGCCTTCTATGCCTTAAATGGGGTGCAGCAGGGGTAACCCACAATGTGCAGTGCGCTCTGTGCCCTGATTTTTGTCTGGGTGGCTGATTCTGCCCTTCCACCCTTAACCAAATCATTCTGCCCAAAGTTTGAAGTGATCACCAGGCTGGTCCCTCGAGGGAGCACTGATGTTATTCTGCGCATATGGCCTTTAGCACAATTAGTTCAATAGGCTTTGTCAGGATCTGAACAGAGAGTATCAGAATAGCTCTGGCTGGGAAATGCAGAGGCTGCAAAACATAATGTAAGGAAAAGGGCCACATGGTGGAGTACATGCAAGCGTCTATTTTCCTCTGATTCTGGTGGTAAGAATTATAATTCATTCCAGTAGAACATTCTCTTGATAAATTTAAGAGCCAGCATGTGGTCTCTTGGCAGTTTCCCTTTAAATTCAATTATCTCCCCTTTACCCTCCCTGCCTTTGCCAATAGGCAGGGACGGAGACACTTGTGACGTTACTGGATGTTATATATGCTAATGCTTCCTCCTGTCCATCTGCTACGTTAAAATGAAGGTGTGCTCTATACAAGCACAGTGGTAATGAATTGTTAATATTCTGGACCACTTCAGCTCTCTAATCACAGAACACTTTTTTTCTAGCATTCTCCTATGTAAAAAAGAAACAGAAACAAAACTTCTGTATAAAATAGGAAAGTGTAAGAGGGCAGGTGCTATGTTGCTTGTTTTACTGGCAAGGGCTTCCATGGGAAAGGATTCCCGAATATGGCATACTCCTGCAAATGGTACAGGCCGATTGGCTAGTTCCAGATCCGGCCATCACCTTCTGCTGCACATGTAGACCAGTCTTACCTTGCATGTGTTCTTGGGTGCACCTAAGGGAAATTACTACCTATTAATGGACAGAAGATGTGAGGCAAATAATGACACGTTTTTACTCCAAAGAGTCACAAAGAAGGTGGAGCTCAGAAAGTTTATATATCTCCCAAGCTGTTTGGCACCAATCATCAAAAAAGGAAAGAAAAAAAATCCAAGAAACAAGTTAAGAGCATACCTAGAAATTGACAGACCAGAACACTTCTTTTTGATAAGCTGGAATTGTGTTCATCTTTAGTGCCTGTCCTTCATGCAATGGAAGCTCCAATGCCTGAGGTAAGAAAAAGGCACTGTTTTCCAGTGCTAGACATGAGATAATTGCTCCAAGAAATGTGCCTATTATTGCTAAGCTTTCATAAGGAAGAAATCAAATTGGATTCCCTCAACTAATAGGTGGCCTTGGTAAGAAATTAGGAGTAACAGACACAACTAGGTTATGGGTTATTTTGCCTGTGTGTCCCAGATGGCTGTTCAAAGTCTGGTTGTTTATGGGAGATCTTGGCATTACTAGATGGTCATTCAGAGTTTGGGAACACGTTGGCATCCATATGCTGATGGTATGCTATTTTTCCTTTTCATTACGCCTGGTGAGGCTGTGGATGTGCTAAACTGGTGTCTGGCAGCGACAACCCACTGGATGAGGGCGAACAAACAGAAATTCACTCCAGACAGAACTCCAGACAGGAGATGCTGTGGTGGGTGGTTCCTCTGGCTGGTTAGAGGGTGTTCAACCTGTTCTAGATGGGGTTACACTTCCCCTGAAGGAGCACGTTCATAGCGTGGGGGTTTTTCCTTCATTCAACTTTGCCACTCAAGGTTCATGTGGCCTCTGTGGCTCTATATGCCTCCTACCAACTTTGGCTGGTGGCCCAGCTACACCCTTATTTGGATATTAGAATGGTTTCAGTAACCTGTGCTCTGGTAATCTCTAAATTAGAATACTTCCGTGTACTCTACATAGGGCTGTCCATGAAGACTGCTCAGAAGCTGCAGTTTGTGCAGAATGTGGCAGCCAGATTAATAACCAGGATCTCTGGGTCCAAACACTGGACTGGTTCTGGATCACATTCATTAGCTGCTCATATGCTTCCAGGCCCGATTCATGGTTCTGGCTTTTACCTATAAAGACTTACATGGCTTGGGAACAATATCCTGGAGAAGAGCCTCTCCTGACCACTGGGGCCTTCCTCTGAGTAACAGTTCCAAGAGAGGCACAGAGGGTGGCAACAAGGGGGAGGGCTTCCTCTGTGGTGGCCCCACATCTATGGGACATCCCCCACACTGCAGCCCACCTGACACCACCCTTGTCATTTTTTTGGCACCAGGTTAAGGTAGCCCTTTATGCCAAAGCTTTACAAGATTTATGTGGCTACTCAGGGTCTTGAGGACATTATTTATCCCCTGTGTTGTTGTTGTTTTACAGGGTTATTCTTTACTGTGTGCTTTAGCTGTTTTAATTCTTTTTCTAACTTTATGGTATTTTAGTGTATTTGTCTTGTTGTTCTGGATTATTGTGAACAGCCCAGAGAGCTTTGATTATGGGGCAGTATAGAAATGAAATACATAGCAGAAGTGGGCTGGAGATAAATCCATTCACCCCCCCTCCCCTTGCAGCAGGGCAATGCTCTAGCACTGTCTTTAAGGAAAGAAAATTACATGGAGAGATGCAACCACACTTCTTCTGGATAAAGCCTACTTTGGCTGTTGTGCTACATATTTACAAGCCGATTTCTATGACTATAATGGTTAGAAATGTGGGTTTCTTTTAAAAATGGAAGCATGAATTCTCTGGATGCTAGGTCCTATATTCTGTGTGGAACAGAAAGCAGCATACAAAAAACAGATACGGGTTACAGGTCTGCCTGGGATGCCAGAGTAATGATAGTTGCGGAGAATGTTGGGTCATAAAATTACAAGCTGAACAAGAGATGACATCGACCTGAGGGGACATGTTTGTTGAGCATGTTCAGTCTTCAATGAAATCTAAGTAGCTTAAATAAATAATAGAAAATACATGGTATCAAGACCAGTCTCTAAATATTTTTAAAATATTTTTAAAACATTAATATTTCATGGCTGGTATAAAGGAATTATGATTCTATAGCTTTGCTTCACAAAGGGAATGAAGATCAAATCAGTAACAAGCAGTAAGAAGTCAAGTTCTTTTTTTAACATTCTTTCCCTCTAATGAAATCTACAGTGTTTTGTTTTTGATGTTTCATATTCAATATTCAGTACTCCGGGTTAGAAACATTGTTCACACATGGTTCTTTTCTGTCCAGGCTAAAACCTTCCCATATTACCTGCTCTCTGTGAAGGTCATCCAGGCTTGGCACATACCCTCAAAAGACTTAAGTGAGTTGTCACATTTCTTCTCTTACATCTTCCATGAAAATTGTTCAAAATAACCCCACCATAAAGGCAACCCCCACCATGCAGTGGTGGCTTAACAACAAACTCTTCTGTGACCCAAACAACATGTTACAACAATGCTAGAGCTGAGGGTTAGCTCTTTCTTTGCTCTAGATTACACGCAGGCTATTCAGTCTTGGGCACTGGGAAGTTTAATCTTCTCCCCATGCAAGGCAGTCCCAATCTGAACTGGGAGCAATACATACTGATCCGACAGTGAAGAAAAAGCTAGCCCTCGACTATACACTACACAATTAGCGTAACTTCCTAAGTATCGTCAATAAGGAAATCTAAGTAACACACATGCCCCCATAGGACACAATGAGTGCTGAGCTGGCATATTTCATGTGCCATTTATAAAAAAAAAAGAGCAAACTGGCTATTAGAAAAGGAATCACAGTGCAAGCAAACCCTATCCAAATAATCCATCCCCTCCAAGAACAGAATGAGGTGCACATAAGCAAGCCAAACAGGCTGTCCTCCTACTGACATTCTACTGGGAGTTGGGGAAGAGAAAAAGCAAACATTTGTCTTTCTTCCCTATGCAGAATCTTAACCTTACCTAAAATAGTAAAACACAATGATCCCTCAGGTGATAAAAAGTCAATGATCTTTCAAAATTCCACATGCATATTAATACAACTTTTTGTTTTGTTCTAGTTACTCTTTCTGATTGTTATGTGAGCCTTTGGCTACCATCAGCTTCCAAACAGCAGGCTGTGACTAAAACCATTTCCAATACTAGTAATCCTGTTTGGAATGAACACTTCCATTTCTTTATCCAACCTGAGGTCAAGGTAGGTACTTTTTAAGTTTAAAAATTAAAACCTTTTCACCAACCTCGAAAAGAAAAGATCCATCATTTCTATGCAGAAGAACTATATAAATCTTTCCTAATATTCTTGGTTTCTGGGAAGAGCAAGCAGAATTTAGTTGGATTTGGGACAAGAAAGGAAGCAGAATTCAGTGCTGAGGACTCATATTAAGGTTGCAAGAGCAGAATATATTCACGGGAGGCATTCTGCAGATGTACTTCCAAAAGCAAGACGCATCCGTTAGGTTATATGGGAATGACACATTGTGGAATAAAACCCCATTGATTAAAACAGGGGTACAGAATGTAGGAGTGGGTGGACTTGGTGAAATGCATCCAATCTGTGTTTGTGGCTCTTTTTCTCCATCATCTGCTCATTGACAAAATCAGCTTTTGTACAACTTCATTTGCATGCATTTGCAGTTCCCCCAAAACATGTGCATCTCTCTGCATCCACACTTTCATGCTTTAGTCCATAAATGCACACTTTTTGGTTGCTGTTTTTTCCCCCCCTAGAACAGAATCTATGTAAAATTATGTTAAGTTAAAGAAACAAACAGGTTGACAAGTCCACAGAATCTGCGTGGCTTGGAAAGTCAGTCTGCTGTGAAATCCAGGAGTCATAGAAATTTGAACTCGATTGCCTCAGTTATACCCCCGTGAAGTCGCGGTTCAGCGTTCGAGACTTCAGTCTCTCGCGGGATTTTTCTCCGAGTGAGTCCAAGCCGATCTCCTTGCGAGTAAGCCAGCTCCTCGCCTTGTGGCAGCTTACTTGCAAGGAGATCGTTTCCTCCGAGTTTGGACTCGCTTGGAGAAAACGATCTCTGTGTGCGCCCGCCCCAGCCCGGCCCACACCGTCTTGGTGGCCGGCACCCATCGCTGGCACTAGATGCGCGGTTTTTCACAATTCGCGGGTGCTTTAGGAACGTAACCCCCGCGAATTTCGGGGGAACTACTGTACACATCCCTCCAACACCCTAGCAGAAACTGTGGCCAGGGGAACAAACCTAGCTTTTTGATGTTCCCCAGATGGCCATGCCCTGGGCCCATGCTTTTTCTCTGAGTGCTGACTGTTTGATGGTTTCCTGGATTTTATGCAGTTTTCCCCCCTTCTTGCATCTTCTAAGTTCCTTGCAATAAGAACATTATCCTAATTTATACTGATATTTTGGGCTTACCACTTTTACTTTTGGACCTGCCCACCTCCAGAGCTTCTCTTACAAGGCATTTGGCCCTTGGGCTGGAAGATTTTCCTCACCCTTTAAAGGGTGGAAACATTTCATGGTGTGTGGAATGAAGTGTCCCCCGCAGGGCGCAGTGCTGCAGGGACTTCACGACCCTTGGCTGTGGCTGCAGGAGCTGCAGGAGGCGGGATGTGGCTATAGCACTGGGAAGCAGCGATCAGCTCCATTGCCAGTCTGCTCTTGGTACACCACTTACTCCCGTTGCTGCTGAATGTGCTGCCATGGCAGAAAATGACCCAGTCATTCTGCTGTAAAACAAAACACTGGGAGTGCAGGCCTTGTTTTAAAGCAAAATAGGGGAAAGGGGGTGCGGCAGTGACCCACCCTGGCCTATATCATACTTAGCATTTGTATAGCACATTGGAGGTGCTCAGAATACTTCTGGGACATTGTCTCTTTTATAACAAGGGGTTGTAAGGAGGGGTTGAAGCTGTTAGAGGCTGCCTAAGGCCACCCAGTGAGGTGATCTCCAGATTCCTTCACTGCACTACACCACTTCCCATATTGCCTTGTTGATCAGGGGTGCCTCTGCATCATGCGCTGTTTGTCCAACACATGCTAGGCATCCAATGGGCATCTGCAGGGGAATTTGGTGTGGCTTGAAGCTGTTGCTAGGTCTTCCAAAGAACAGTTCTGTGTATGAATGAGATAGACACACAAACACACACCTTTCTTCTTTGCACTCAGAATGTGCTGGAGCTGAAGCTCTATGATCATGACGTAGTCACCAAAGATGATCTCCTCTTCACGGTTGTCTATGATATCGCTAAAGTGAGGCCTGGGGAAACGCTTCATGAAAATTTCATTTTGAACTCTGAGGTAAAAATTGACACGACAAGTGCCACTTTATCATTTATCAGTTTTCCCTTTTGTAATTTATCAGCTGAATTGCTTGGGTTGGTTTGCCAGGAGGCAAAGAGATGAACTTTGAAGTTCCTCAGATATTTATTCCCACATCTATGTATTATTATTTCTTTTGTATTCTAAAGCAAATGCAATGTTGTTATATAAATATTAGTTCCTTAAGTTTTTGTATCACATTTTTACAAATAAATAATCCACAGTAGGTTGCCCGTGCACTGAACAACCTGCAATGTTCCCAACAGACAACTGGGTTCACTGCAGGTAGCCCCCCTTCCTCCCCTACCAGTCCTCCAGCCAATATCCCATGAGACTTGGTAGCTAAAATCACCTTGCCTCTTCTCTCTGCCCATGTCATGGATGCAAGAAAGTGGTGAGTGAGCTGCTTTTTCACTCACCATGGTGAACTTTTTCACTCCTATTTTTCCTGAGATTGTTTTGCAAGGTCTCCACATTGACATCCAGACACAGTTCCTCCAAAATGCCTGAGTGGTACATTGGAAGGCTATTATTCATTTTCTACCCATTAAAAATAGTTTTTATGCTCAAGAAACCTGCACAAGCTTTTTCATATGGAGGTCAGACTGGTGCAAATGGCAAGTCAACACAAAGCATTGGGAAGTGCGTCAAGTTTAATGTGAAGCAGACACCAAACCCCCAAAATTTATTTATTTATTCACAAATTTATATGCCTCCTATAACTGCCAGAACAGCCTCCCTATGTGGCTCACACAATAAAACAGCATAAAATAGTTGAAAGAATAAAATTGTAGGACATAAACATAGGACAATATAATAAAACCAATAAAGGTAGAATGGCCCTAAAACAAGCCATGAGCATTCATGAGCCCACAGACAAGCCACCCTACAGGAAACAGTCCGAGTTTGCATGACACGGCAACCCACTGTAGCTTGTCATTCACAATAGGGTGTTGTGCTGTGTTGTGTCAACCCAGTTAGTGCCTGGACCAGCATCATCCAGGTTGTTTCCTCACTAAATGGGGACTTTGCTCAGTTCCACACACCAGGCACAATTGTTCATCTGTTACAAAATGCTACTTTCAGGTCCACAGCAGAGCAGCTTTTACTTTAAACTCATCAGTTTCCAAGGAATGTTGATCAAAGGGGCAGCTCTGAAGGCCATTTTCTTTAGCATAAAGTCTACTAGTTAATTGCTTCAGTGAGCCCTTTAAAACTTTTAAAAGAGTTAATGTAATGATTCACCAGCTGGATCATTTGCAGAAAAATCAGACATAGAGGCTCCTTCGTAAGCAATGTAGCCTTTGGAAAATAGCCTTTGAAAGCATGCTACCTGTCTAGTGTATTTTGATGGTCTGTTCCTAACGGTTAAATGTTTGTCATTTTCTGTGTTCACATCTGTTTTAGACTGTGTGCTTCCATATAATTTCTTTTCCAGCGTAGTTCATTCTTTCCCTTCTCTGGTTTGTTTTCTGGAACAAAATACTAACATAATTATATGCAAAACAAAAATGTCATGCAATGATTTATCCTTTTTCTAACCCTTTCAAGAAAGCAAAGCATACCCAGAGGAAGTTAGTCACCCTTTGGTTCCATTGAAATCAAGTAAGATTCAAAGGTGACTAACTTCCTCTTGTTCCATCTCAGAGAATGCGACTTGGTCATCTTTTCAAGTTGAAAAAAAATGTCATGGGGTTTAGTAGGTGCAAATGGTTATGGGTGCAAATGATTGTAATTTCCTCCCCCCTCAAAATTATGTGGCACATCCAAGTGGAAGGCACTACTAGAAACAGTGTAAGTGGCTGTACTGAACTGGTGCCTGGCCGAGGTAATGGGCTGGATGAGGGCCAATAAACTGAAGCTCAGTCCAGACAAGACGGAGGTCCTGTTGGTTGGTGGATCGGGCTTTGGGGAAGGGGACCTGAACCTAGTCCTGAATGGGGTTGTACTCCCTCTTAGGGACAAGGTCCACAGCTTGGGAGTGCTCCTCAACCCAGAGCTTTCACTGGAAGCTCAGGTGACAGCGGTGGCGAGGAGCGCTTTCTTTCAGCTTCGGCTGATCCATCAGCTGCGTCCCTACTTGGAGAACGACTGCCTGGCGACGGTGACACACGCGTTGGTGACTTCCCGTCTTGACTTCTGTAACGTGCTTTATGTGGGGCTGCCCTTGAAGACTGTCCGGATACTTCAATTGATTCAAAATAGAGCTGCCAGGCTGCTGACGGGGACTGGGCGTTATGTTCGCATGACACCAGGTCTCCTTCAGCTTCACTGGCTCCCCATTGAAGTCCAGGCCCAATTCGAGGTGTTGGTTATGACCTATAAAGCCCTTAATGGCTTGGGTCCTGGTTACCTGAAGGAGCGCTTACGTCCATATGGGCCCGCCCGCCCCTTGGGATCAGTGGGAGAGGCCCTTCTCCAGGAACCCTCCGTGAAGGATATTAGGAGGGTGAGTACCCGGAGGAGGGCTTTCTCTATGGTGGCGCCCAATCTATGGAATGCGCTCCCCAGAGAGGTCTGCCTGGCGCCGTTGTTATTTGTTTTTCGGCGCCAGGTGAAGACCTTTTTATTCAAATGTCATTTTAATTGTTAATACTATTTATTTATTTTATTCTTTGGTAAGGGCGACTTAAATTATACTGTTTTATATTGTGTTTATTTATTTATGATTGTGAGCTGCCCCAAGGCTTCGGCGAATGGGGCGGCATAGAAGTTCCCTAAATAAATAAATAAATAAAGTGCTTAGATCCTAATTCTATTTAGCCCAGTATTGGTGACACTGACTGGCAGCTGCTCTCCAAGGCTTCAGGCAGGATTGTTTCCTAGCCCACCTGGAAAGGTCTGAACTGAGAACCTTCTGTGTGCAAAGTGTATGTTCCACCAACTGAATCACACCCCTCCACTGTGGAAAGTTGGCTTAAAGTATCTGAAAACAGGATGGGAAATATGATTGAAGAGCATGTAACATGTGTTTTAAAGGCATACACCACATACCTGATCTGGGGAACAGGTTGGTTGGGAGTGATGGGAGTTGCAGTCCATGTAGCTGGAGGGCCCAGGTTGGGAATGGCTGGTTTGCGTGGCAGTGGCAGGAGCCTTTCCCATCCCCACCTGGAGATGCCAGGGTTGAAAACTGGGACCTTCCGCATGCCTGCATGGGCCCTGCCACTGAGCTACAGCCCATCCACACCCAATAAGGCGCACACTGCATCATTTTATGACTCAGTTGCTTGGAGCAACTTCATCAGGAGAATTTGCCCCTTTGGAAAAACAGCGCCCTGTTGAAGTGCACAGCATTGGCTGCTTTGCTCTGTTTCTAAAAAGTAAATTTTGGCCACTGTTTCACCTTAAACCTCTGCCCTGGAACATTTCCACTCATGCAACTATTAAAATGCCTCACATGGAATGTTGTCTGGAAGGCATATTATTATATTGGCTCAGGGCAGAGATTACAATTTAATTACCAAAATTTCTTTGTCTTTCTTCCTCCTGTAGGGACAAGAGCGTCTAGAAGTAGAATTCAAGATGGAGAGCGTGTGAGTAAATAGTTCTGATTATAAAATGAGAGGGCACATGATCTTATGATGAACTAATACATGAATGATAGGGTTTTTCCATACTTCTAAAATAAATTGAATTTGTTTATACTTCGACATTATGGGTTCTGCTTTCTGTAAACAGGCACCCCAATCCAGAGCTCCCATTGCTCCTTGAAGTACCTACAGAGTTCCTATAAAGGGGGGAGGAGAGCTAAGTGCTAATTCCTTTTGTGGGTGAGCATGAGGCTTCTATTGAAATGAAAAAGGAAGTTACTAAGACCAAGTCTTCAGGTCCCTGCAAAGACGCCTGAGCTAGGACTTTGCATTCCCACTGGCCTACCAGAGACACATGCAACTAGTGACACGCTGAGCCAATATATCTCATCTGCCAAGTATTGCCACATGCCTTAAGCCCACAGCCTTTCCCACTCCCATTTCTAGCCAAGCAATTAAGAGAAAGGCATGTATAAGATTCCTGTTCAATGCAATGGATGAGTTGTGTGCAGTTGGTAAGCCTCAAGTTGTGCAGGCATCGTCTACCATTATGTTGAATCATGAATTCCAGTTGCTCCCAAGAACTCACAAAAACAGTTGAGCACAGAAAGAATGTAGAGGATGGGAAGCTGATTCCAAATTAGGGTCCAATATGCAGTGCTGATTGCAGGTTTTCATACAGGTATGTGAGGGAGTGTCACACGGAGGTGGGTAGAGACCTGTTCTCCCCTGCAGAGGAAGGCAGGACGTGCTCCAATGGAGCAAAGCTCAGGGAACCAAGATTCAATTTGGATGCCAAGAAGTACTTCCTGACCATTAGTACCTCGAGTGTATGGAATGGGCTTCCACGGGAGGTGGTTGAAGCTCCATCAGTGAGGGGTTCAAAGATAGGCTAGACATGCACATCATGGGCATGTCAAGAGCGGAGCCGGCTGGAGCTGGGGTTCAGACTAGATGGCCCGAGAGACCCCTTCTGACTCGCTCTGTTTCTATGTTTCTATGTTTTTCACTGGGCTCCAGGGGAACCACTTCTATGTGGCTAAAAACAAGGACATAAGAAGGGTCATGCTGGATTGGACCAAGAGTCTATCTGGTTTGGCAGTTATCTGTGGTGTCTATGCATATGCAAAGTTATATATGCATGTGAATTTAGGAATCACAGCCATTATATACATAGGACCACATGATATCTTTGCAAAGTGGGGAAGGCTGTGTCTGCTAAGTCTTCTCTTCAATCTATTGCCCAGATGATAAGGTCTAAAGGGCAACTTTACTGCCTCTGCTCACCTTCCTGATGGCTCCTGATTGAGTGTCTTCTGTAGAGTAAGAACCTGGTCCACCAGCCCCTCACCTTCTATGACTTTATGTTTACACCACAGTTGTCAGTCACTTCTGGTACTCCTCATCTTTTTCCTCATCAATGCTACCACCTGCTTGCTTGGGAGGCAGCCAGCCATTGCGCAAGCAGGTCCTGGCTTGGCTTCTTCCTCTTTCTCTCTACCAGTGTGGTCTGGACCAGAGCAAGAGGCAGGTGAGCAAGCAGGTTACAATGGCAGAAAGGTGGAGCTTTCAGTGGACCTCAGCAGGAGCTTGACCCTACCTGCCTTTCATGTCAGCCCTGCCACTTTATTTATTAAAAATGTCACATGCAAAAAATATATAAAAACTGCAATGGGAAATGTTGGAAATGTAACAGGGTGGATGGGACTTTCTGCTATATGTGGTGATCTAGTGAAACAATTAAAAGGTTTTAGAAACTGATACATGCAGAAATACAAAAAGCCTTTAAAACTAAGTTTCTTATGACTCCTAAGAAAATGCTTTTGAAAATAATGCCAGAGACTTTTTCAAAGAATATGCCAGTCATTTAAATATATGACAACTGCAGCAAGAGAAATTGCTTCTAAATGGAAATCACCAGAGTCCCCAACAATTGAAGAATGGCAAAATAAGCTGGCAGAATATGCAGTGATGGCAAAATTAAGTAATTGTGTAACTAGAAGACTGGTTGAAGAATGAATGACAAATGAAAATTCTACCGTACCCAGTACAATTAATGGGATGTTAATGTAAAAGGGAGCTCCTTAAAAATAATTGAGGATTTATAATTGATTTAAAGTGATTGGAAAATTTGCTGGTCTACAGAATAATAATTCCCCTTTTTCTAAACTTCCATAGAGTGCTGAATGACAGAAAGATAGATATTTTCAGTCTCTCCGAAATTTGTGGCCTTGAATGTATTGGTTGTAGTTGTTCAAAATCCCTTGGCAACTTAATTCTATTTACTCTATTTTACTTTTATATACATATGCTTTTCTTCTTTCTGTATGTTGTTTATATTAAGAAAATAATTAAAAAGTAACATGCATTTTCCACTGGTTGGTTTTGCATTTCCCCCCAGATGTTCGGGTTTTGAGAATATTATTACTAATGGAATCCTAACGGTAAGACCCATTATTTGTTGCTTCCTTCAACATCTTTCCAATCTGAGCCGAAATAATTGCAAAGGAGGTAAAAGATGCCTAAAAGCTTTATTGTCTATCAAATGTCTGGAGCTGTCATTAAAGTTAAACAACCATATTCAAGATTGACCTGCATGTAGAATAAATGCAAAACTGCCCTCAGCATTTCAACAAATTCTCTGAGAAATGGTGCTTTTAAAACTTGAGAGAAACTAGGTTTGGCAAATCACAACCTTTTCAGGCTGTATTCTAGGTCCCTAAGCTGGAAATAGAGTACATCATGGGCTTTTTTCTAGGACTGGAAGGAATTTTGCCATAAAAATGCTATGTCTGTGTTTCTAGAAGGTCCTTTTAAATAAATGCACACATACAAATGCTCACATTCAAGGGACTCTGTCTGAGCATGTGGAGGCTAATTTCTGGCACAGGCTGTGGATATTTCTGATACTTCTGGGTAGGAGCAGGAGGACCCCACACCAGGATCCTTGCATTCTTCTTTGTCCTCCAACTCAGTAGGCCGGAAACAAACCCACTCCAAGGTACATAGGGAATTTCAGTGTTGATGGGCACTATTTCACATCTTAAGCCAACGTTCAGGTCAAAGACCTGTCTACTCCAGGGTCCTGCTTCCACAGTGGCCAAGCAGGTGCTTATATAAAACCCACAAGCAGGACACAAGGGGAATAGCACCCTTCTGCTCACGAAGCCTAGCCTCTGCATGTGGATGCATGACGTGTCCCGTACTGCCTGTGGCACATTTGCCATAACTGCTGCCTTGCACCCTTGCATTAGCCAAACATGAACTATACAAAGATCACTAATGGACAGGGCTGATAGTAATCAGTGGCAGGCTAGGTTCCACTTTACAGCATAGAGATCTTTGAAACAGAAGGTGTAATTGGGTCAATGGGGACAAGAGAAATGTTTTAGCCCAAAACTGGTTCATATAAAGCAGGAGAGGGAGAAATGCAGAAATTTAAATGTTGGAGTACCCCATTTCCCCTCAGCCCCAGTCAGCAAGGCCAGTGCTCAGCGTTTTGATGGTCACGCGTTCTATAAAGCAACTCTCTGTTTTAATGGTGTTGGTGGTTTTCTTTCCTTCTCAGACTCGTGAGATTTCCTGTTTGGAAATTCAGCTGGACAAACAGAAGAATGAAGAATGTTTGAAAAGTGAGTCTGAATCTTGATTTTTTAAAGTAGACGACCAAGTCTGCCCACTTCATAAGACTTTTTAAAAATCTAAATTAAAATCTCCTTGGGCTAAAGACATATTATATTACACAGTTACTTCCAGATTTCCATTGTGGTAAAAGTTTATGGCTCAATCACACAAAACCCTGGCCGCTGATTTTCTACATATACACAGACAAAACACTGTGGAAAAGAGCCTTCAGATAGTCTGAGTTTGAAATTGTTTTGGCATTACTATGATTTGTGCTAGTTAGATGAATAATTTATTCAAGGAGGTTACTGGCAGGAATATTTATAGAAAAATGAAACTGCTCAGACCATGGGACAAAGCTCATTGTAAAACGTACACACCCTGCTTATAGCAAAGTCTGATTTAATTTAGGTATGCACTGCTTGAAAATTACTTTACTTACACTGACACTTCATTACGAAATATTCACGATCCACATTTAAGAGCTTTGGGTATATGGGTGTATGTACCAAATATATCCTCAATCTCTTATTAAACAAATCATCTGTATCATCCATCGTATCACCCTCTGCCCCTCTCCACCAGTTTTTGGCTCAGTTGTGGAAATTTAGTAAAGATTTCCTCACTACTACCAGGGATCAAACAGCAAATTACTCCCCTCCCATCAATTGCACCCGAGGTCAGCAACTTGTTCTGACACTGAAACCCCTCTATCTATTCCTGGCAGGAGCCACGTAACAATCTGGTATACTTTCCTGCCACTAAAAAGCTGCCCAAGGTGTCTGCCCTCTACTGCCTAACGGTAGGGCTGTCCTTGCTCTCTTGCTCTACACAAGGTTTTGTGCTTGCGTCACCAACAGGGTGCTTGCTCCGAAAAGCCCATGTCTCCTGCTCTTCCTCCTGCCCTCTGCTCTCCTCCTGTCTCGACTTGTCCCTGATGCTCTTGACAACTCTCAGCAAGCCCTGCTGCCCTGCACCCACTGCCTCGCTGTAGGACCAACACATGCCCAACAGCCAGTTGAGAAGCTTTCCCAGGCAGATGCCCACACATCGTCCCTCAGGATAGCCTTCCCTGCTGGACATGCTGCCTCTGTCCCGGGCATAGGCGCCTGTGCTGCTGCCCTCTGTGTGTCTGGCTGCAGCAGGGAAGCAGCCCTTTCCAGTACGTGTGTTTCCTAGGCACAGAGGGGTGCAGACTCATGTGCAGCAAGGGAAAGATGGGCAGGATGTTGGGCTGGCATTCTCGCTTGTTAGCATGTAGCATGGCAGCACAAGGGGTGCTCCTCTTGTGCTAGTTGAGAGCAAAGCGCTACTCTAGTGGGCAAGCACTTGCAGCTTCTGAGCAGCAAAAAAGCAAAGCAAGCAGGGCAGGGCAGGGCAAAGCAAAGCAAAGCAAAGCAAAAAGAAGAGCAGCTGCTGAAGCTAAGCCCAGGGAAGTGTGTGGGCCAGAGAGGGAGAGGCAGGTGACATGGGCCAGAGCAGTGTATGCTGGGATTGATTTTCACCTGTGGGGGCTAAAGGGATACCAGCTGTCATTAGGAGGAAAGATGGGGAAGCATCAAAACCACGCATGCATGGAAACATGCAGCCAATGAAATGCTCATGGAAGGCTTACATGAACAAATGCTTAATCTGTGGTCAGCATCAAATTTTGGCACAGCCAACTGACTTATCAGTTGGCGTCACAGGCAGCATAAGAGCTTTTAATATCTGAAACTGTAAGTCCAGATGATGCCCCCTCTGATATGAAGTAATGATGATGGAACTAAAATAATTAATAATTTAATAACTGGCATGTTTATTCTTCATAACAGTGCCCTTGTAAGTGGCACCTGAACCAAGCTGCTTCTTAGTGCATAACAAGACGGTGAGCCCTGCATGTTTACATACACATTAGCTTCTGTCACATTGTCTCACAAACATTTTATGCCAGAATCCATTGTTGGTCAATGGAGATTCTTTGCTGTTAAAATTCGCATGTGTGGATTTGCGGTAGTACAAATATAAAAGTGGCTTGCTTGGGATGTTTTTATTAGACCTCCTGTATCCAACAACTGGCCTTCCTAAGCTTTGCCCACTTTGTCATGTAAACCCTGCTCAGAGCTGGCTGAAGATTCTTTGCTGCCTAAGGCCAGCCCTAAGACAAGATGGTGTCTCACACCATGCCTTGTACAGAAGCTGACTAGAAGGGCAGTTGAATCTTGTTTCAGTGCCAATAGAGTAGCATCTTCCACCATGCCTGAGGACAGTGAGCCTGTTTAGGAGGTGGAGGACAAGTTCTGTGGCATTTATTTTTCTGCTTTTCAAGAGAGAGGCCTCAGGAAATGCCTGGAGGCCTTTTACCACTCCCCTTCAGCATCTGTGGCCTGAAGTGGTTTCTGTATTCTGATTTTTGGTTGGGCTGGCCCTGGCTCTCTCCCCTGTAAGGGCGGGATGGAAGTAGCAGTACCCACATTCAGACACGGCAGCTTATCTCGTGTTTCTACAGGCGGTCAGCACAGCCTGCCAATCTGCACACTGCATCAGCAAGAATACAGCTTGTCTTGTAAAGCAGTGGGGCAGAGCTGGTTCTTTCAATCCGAGGAGCTGTGGATTGGCAAGAGTTGCTAACTCTTTCCCTGCACACTGCTTTGCTCCTGTAACTGTGACTATTCAAGGTGCTTTTCCCCTGGTGGTCTATGAACCTGCTGATGGATTGGGAAGACAGCTGCGGAAAGCATGGTGAGGGAGACATGGCTCCATGACTCAACCCAACCTGCCACTTCTCTGCCTGAGACTGGTTCCCCAGCCTCCGCTTGATGAGATTCTGGAATGCTTCACAGTCTAAGGCCCACACTATACTTTCTGCTGCTCATGAATACTGTAGTCATGAGTGATAGTTCCCCAAATCTTGTATAAGCATGTGTGACCCAGATTTGGATCAGGACCACAGGGTTTGGGATGGGAGTTAACTTTTCCTCAAATTCTACCTCACCTGTACAAGATGGAGGTAAGGAAAAAAGTATTAGCTGGAGTCCAGACATCTTTCTTTTTTTTAACCCAACCAATGGGGGAAGTTGTGGAGTTTTGAGGAAAAGTGAGTGTGTCCATGTGCATGCGGGTGCACATGTGTGTGTGGGAGATATTTAACTCTCACCCACTGCTCATTTACATAACAGTGAGGGAATCTATCACATATAGCTGCACTATGTGATCAGCAGAACAGATGTTTTGGTGCTTAGTTTAGGCCTCTGTAATCTATGGTGGTTTCTAATGTGATCTATAAGGCCTTCTGTTGTGCATAAGATTCCATGAATCCCCTCATTTACATAGTTATTGAACACTTCCCCATAGAACATAAAAAAATTGAGCTGGTGGTGAAAGAATCACTTGAAGAAGCACAGAAGATCACCCAGGACTCAGACATCTTCCAGTTCCACTGTGTAAAGAACTGGGAGCCAGTGCTAAAAGCCAGCATGAAGGTAATCCCATGTTTACAAGTGACAGGATTTATCAGCCTACCAGTGGGGCCTGGATTAACTAGTGCACTGAGATCCTTACAGGGTAGGTCTGCAGATGCATGTGGGAATGACACAATGACAAGAATCTGCTTCTCCTGTTCTACCATGTCTCCAGGGCCAAGCTGCATAGGGTGGGCTAGTCACATGCATGTATGCGTCATTTTTGCATGCAAGGGGAGTTCACTTTACTATGAAAAGCACATACAGTAAAACCTTCGATTGCGAGCATAATTTGTTCCGGAAACGTGCTTCTAATCCAAAGCACTTGTATATCAAAGCAAATTTCCCCATAAGGTTCAATGTAAATAAGGTTAATCCGTTCTGT